AGTAGGCCCGGTTCCGATGGATTACCTGATGACTTGCCAAATCCGCGGTAATCAAATGCGAGGATAAACATCTTCTCTGATGCTCCTGAAGAGTAGGAGCGGTACTCTATGGTTCGTCGTTCCTGTGCGAGTGTAGCGGAGTTGCCGTGGAAATAGAGTAACAGCCTTGCATCTGGATCCGTCCGTAGTAGCTTGAAGGCGAGGTGGTCTTCGATACTACCCGATTGCTGCTGGATGAATTGGTCGGCGTGTCTCGCGTATACACCCAGTGGGGTAATGAGCCATGCGAATAGTTTCTCGTCATCGCTTGTCGTGATGCGAAACGGCGCGACCTGATTCTCTGAAAGGATGAGCCGAGTAGCCCAACAAACTCTACATGCATCCACGTACTCAAGAATCCAGCTCTTTCAGGTTCATCAAGCCATTTCCCAGGGAAGAATGTGATGTTGTGCAGATATAGCATTTCTAGGAATATTTCAGTACGGTCACAAGCTAGCTTCACCAGGGGGGGTGAACCAACGTTTCTGCACCCATGGTATACAGCATAGGAGGGTGCCTGGTATCCATATGCCGCTTATGAGGGACAAAGATACGCCGAGCGCACTGAAGAGACTCATGGTGAAAAGGCAGACGATGTGTAGTCATGCGAGCGACATGTGTATTGGGAGCTTTGATACTGTACTAGCGTGATCTGCACCTCCCGTTTCGAGATGGCGGCGGGCACCGGAAAGCACGTTCTACCACCAACCCATGTAAAACGGTCTTCACTTCGCTGCAGGATGTGATTCTATTGTTAAATTGATCGCGCAAGATACTTTGCGACGATCACATGATAAGCAGTCTTTTGCATGCAATTGTCAACATCCTTGTCTTGGCAAGCCATTCACAGCGACGACAAGCTGACGCCTAAAACATCTACCAGACGACTTCAATGTATCTACCTCAGTCATCCAGCCTGATACACAGGATTCTCCGTCTTATAGTACATTGCTTTGACCGGCTGCTGTTCCATCGCATGTCGTCTTTTGGTCTTCGCTATCGCCTCTCTCTTCTTCATCTTCATCTCTATAACCTGCAGCGCGCGTCTTTGACCCTCTGAAACGCCTACGAGGCCCATTTCACCACGTACAGCAATGCGATGATCGTATCGCGACGAGTCTTTCGCACATGGTTGGTCTGCCTGATTTCCTTGTCCTGTTCTTGCTACGATAGCAAGACACTCGGCGGATTTATCCCTTCGGTGCTGTAGTCCCCTACTCCTTGTGTGTGTAAGACCCGGTTTCGTTCGCAATTGCGTGGTATATGAGCGTGAATTGATGACTGTGCCGGATGGAAGTATCATCTCTGTTTTTGAGATTTTGACTGCTGCTGTTCTTTGTGTAATTTTCTCTCCGTCTTCCTCGCCTTCTTCATCGTTGAACTCGTCAGTCTCCCAAAAGTCAAGAAGTTCAGATCCGTTCTGGAGATTAAGCATACAGTGTCCCTTGTCTCGCATGTGCGTTTGGACACCGTCGACTGTGCCTTTTTCGACTCCGCAGTAGAGACACTCTTTGTATTCGAAGATAATGGTGGCGAGATATCCGACGAAGGAGGCAAGGTCGTATAGGCGCTCTGGTGACGGGATGAATAGGCCGTGAGTGATAGCCATGTGATCCATGTTTGTGGAGAGAGAAGAAAAGATGTTGGAGCAGAAGAGACATCTAGTTGAGGGCACTACAGCGAGCTCTTCTTCTTCTTCTTCCATCTCGTTTGAAGTGGAGTGGACTTCGGACCGGATCATTGGAGAGGAGAGCGTGATCTTGACCTCGCCACGATTCTTTGAATCACATGTGATCTCAGGACTCTGAGCTTTCGCGTCGTACTCTTCTTTCGATACCGCCGGTAGTGCAGCGACCCGGCTCCTGAGATTAAATATACTGTTGCGTCATCAGTCTCTGGTCCACAAAACTGTATGAGAACTTACTGCCACGATTGTCGCATGTGCGAGCGCTGAAGTTCACTAGTTGCAAAGGTGACAGAGCAAGTATTACAAGGATACTTGCGTGTCTCTGAAGCCATATTGGCGGAGTTCCCTCTTGGTAGACTTCGAAGTTGAAGAAGCTGGATGTAGATGAACTAGAAGCTCGAATTAGAGAAGCGCTGTCCCACTCTTAAGGGTGTTAAGTGGATGCAAGGAGATGGAACGGATATGAGATATTGACGAAGCCTGAGGAACACTTGAGTATATATAGGTACATTCACACATGATTGGGGTTTACCAAGGGAATGATCACGTGGTATCGCTGTGATGAGTTTTGAGTCACCAGCAGACGATGTCATTGGTTGGATGATTAGCATAGCCACCCTGAGCGGTGTCAACTCCTAGAACTTTTGGACTTTATGGAAGAAATGATCCAAAGTGAGGAAGCGTGGCATTATGATGTTTGGAATCAACTTTTGTTTTCCCCGGCGTAATCATGTACCGTGAACCCGTTACTCCTCGCTATATATCGTATACAATCATGCAACATAAACGCATCAATAATGTACAAATAATGCAAGGTATGCGAGATGAAAAAATGAAAGACGTTTATGCGAAACAGAAGATGATCTACGCGCTCTCTGCTCTCCCGCTGCCGCTGCCGCTGCCACTGCCTTCACGACTACTCCTCCTCTTAACCTGTGGTCTTGACAGATCCGTGTCGCTTCGTGTCGCTTCAGTCGCCGCTTCGTAACCCTCCTCTTCCATCTCGCTCATGCTTTCCGCATTGCTTAGGGAGCTTGCGCGTTTGCTCTGCCACGGTAGGTTGCCTTCACCAGGTGTATCTGGCCTGGCACCTGGCAGCTTCGGTCTGATGGTCTGTTGACGAGCAGACTGTGCATTGCCCTGTGTAATCGTCTTCTTCGACCGGAGGGAACCCTGACGAGAGGTGCTTGCAGTACTACCAGTCGTGCTATTGCTCCAGCGACGTTCTCGATCTCCCAGGGCTCGCGGTCGTCCGTCTAGGTCAAGATCCGGGGTTGGTGTGGTACTCCGGGAGCTGCTTCTCGACTGGCTTCCGTCTCGACCTCGCACGCTTTGCAGCACACTAGGCCTTCTCTTTCTTCCCGAATGTGCCATGCTGTTCGTGCGACTGTGGCTGTGGTGATGTCCAGACTTCTCGACGTCTGCACTCCTGCCACTGATTCCACGAGCGCGCTTCCATCCTCGCCAGCCGGTCCACCAGAGCAGTCCACCTTCTTCTCTTGCGATCTCGCGCTGCCTGGCACGAACGCGCTTTCGGAGTTCGGCGCGTCGCTCGTTCTCGGTGGCCCAGTACTCGTTGCGGTATACCTCCCACTCTTGCCTGAAGTCTGGCGTGAATGGTTTCGGTAGGAGCAGAAGCTTGATGTAGTCGCCTCCAGGCGCAATATCCTCCTCTGCGTATTCCTTGCCGTCTTCGACTCTGCGATGTCTTGCGTGACCGCCCTGTAGACCGTTCTTGTTCTCCTGCGCAACGTTGATAAAGTGGTACGAGCTGCCACCTTGCTCTCCACCCCATAGTCCACCTGAAAAGGGCACGACGAAGTACCCCCATTCAACGAGCTCTCTCCACCAAGGCCCTCGGATCACAACGATCTTTGCATTCATGCCCCTCAGACCACGATTAGCTACCCCGATCCATCTTCTAGGCCACCTGACACCCCTCTCCCACTGGCCCGTCGCCCAGAACAAGAGTGCCGTGACAACGCCCGTGATGAAGCCGACCTTCTGCAGCATATCAACCAGCCAGTACTGTGACCCGCCTATGCCCTTGCCATCTTCTCGAGGCCGTAGCCATAGAAGGTAGAAGCAGAAGCCTATCCATAGAGCGAGTAGTGTAAGAACGAATGTGTTCTGCCGCCGGCGCGCGCGAAGTGTGAGGTATTGGCTGCGTAGGCTGGCTTCGAGGATGAGAAGATTCAAGTATATCTGCGACGGAGCGGATGGCAGGAGGGAGACTGGGTCGTTGGCAACGGGGAATCGTGGTGACTTGGACGCTGGGCGCCGGTCGTTCGGGTCGTGAGGTGCGTTGATACTGTTGGCAACCTTTTCGAGGTTGGTGTTGGATGCGGGTGCGCCCTTGACTATCTGGTCTAATGTTGATGGTGCCATGTTCCTACGCCTACAGGTCCCAGGCCAAGGGTCGCGCGTGGGTGTCCCGCTATGTACAGCAATGACATGTGAAAGCCAGCGCAGCCGGAAGTTGCGCGAACGCGTGATGCGTGTGGTGAGACTACGTTTGGTAGTGGAACGGGAGTCACAGGGATTCTAGGGCATCCCGGAAAGAACGAGAGGCGCGTGGGAGGGGTATATGCGAGTATAACAATGGTGCACATGCACGGGAGCGGTTGCGCGAGGCAGGGCCCGTCATGATGCAGCGGGCTCGCTTACGTCTGGCGGTGAGACTGGGATTGCTGGCATACAGCCGTTACCCCACACACCTAGGCTCAGCCAGGCAACTCGCACTGTTGTTCGAGTGACGGCGCTGGCCCTGCAGTAGTTTTCTCTTGGATCAGACGGTTCGTGCATGTCAAATTTGGAATGACATGGCATGGAACGATTCTGGAATGATGATGATCAGCAGCAGCCTCACCGTCTGATTTCAACATTCAATCGAGGACAATAAAGTGACTTGCTGTGTTTATGTATTATGTAGTTCTGCCAGTTTGCTTTACTAGTGTAGTATTAAGACATTCATAGATGTCTAGAGCTAGATGATCAATCCTTGATGGCTATGGTCAAAGTCGTGACAATCTTAATATCTGCAGAATCGCAAGAATATAAGCAGGTGTCTTTCAGTATCTATTATCTGTAAGGAGGGAATATAAACTGCATTCTGCCAGATCAAAATTAAAATGTGTTTCGCTTGATGCTTCGCCCATGGCTGATATATGAGGGGTTGGCGCTTTGGCCATACATCCTTTCACCCCCACCCAACCAATGCAAAAATCTAAACTACACCATTCTACAACCCTACAAATGCAAAAAACTAAGCCTGCGACCGAAGAGGGACTCGAACCCTCAGCCTCAGCCTCACAATTCTCTATTCTACGTGTTTTACGTGTAGCAATGAATAGGAGGGCTGCGCGCTACCATTGCGCCATCCGGCCAGATGATTTGTTATGACAATCCGGCAAATACAACATTTATATAACCAGTTTGCAGAGGCCCAGGCACGCAAGCCTTAGCAAGTACTAAAGAAAACGATGCTAGTAATTCCTTGCTTGCTGTGAAATGTTCGCCGAAGTCCGGCCTTGTCACAAAGACTTTTAATAGCGGGGAAGCGGTCCCTCACATCACAAGTGCCACAATAGCCGAGCCGAACATGTGGACAACATCATGTTGGCATGCAGACAAAACATCTAAGTAGGCTGAAGCATGGAGGTTAAGTATCAGGTGCAAACTGTATGGGACAAACAGTATCATGAGTATGACGTCAAGTGGCTTCCTTATTCGATTCAAGTAAGTCGCGCCTACGACACTTACTTGATGGTTATTTTGTAGGAGTCTTTCTTAGGCTTAATGTAGAAGCACAGTGTAGAGAGCATCTGACAGTCTTCACAACTAATGCATCAACCGGAACCTTAGTTCTTTGTAACGACGCTAAGCGAGACAGCATTACACGAGAGCATGATGCGCCTATCAGGATTCTGCGGAGATGACACAAGCAAACCGAAGAGTCATACAGAAGACGGAGCAGGCGCTCTCCAAATTTGGACATACCCCACGCTGCTGCCTGATTTACACCTTCCCTATCACGGTGAAATCTGCGCGCTACACCACAACATCTTCAAACACACAGTTCTTGACACATCTCAGGACTCGACGCGTCTTCAACAACAATGTCGTCGAAAGCCTATCCCGGGTCCTGCCACTGCGGCGCTGTGCAATACAAACTCAAGCTCAAGTTCCCACCAACCATGGAATCATTACAAAGCAAAGATACCGTCAGGATCTACAAATGCAACTGTAAGCTACCTCAACACTTGCCACCGTTCAGCACTCACATCCCTAAAGGTACAACGTGTCAGAAGATGGGGCTCTTCCACTGCCGTCCCATCACTCCAGCCAATGACTTCATTCTCCTCTCACCTTCGCCTTCCGATCTAGGCGACTATCGCACCGGTACTCGAAGGCAAGGTTGGTATTTTTGCAAGACCTGCGGCGTGCGAGTTTTTGGCATGGCAGGCGAGTGGGAGCAAGCTGAGCTAGACATTGATCATTGGGCTGGCGTGAAGCAAGATCCAGACAAAGAGAAGGCTCAGAAGGTGTGGCGAACAAAGGCTATGACAATCAAGGAAACTATAAATGGGGAAGAGAAGGAGGAACTTTACCACTATCTTAGTGTTAATGCTGTAACGCTGGAGCCGAGCGAAGATGTGGATCTGAAGATGTGGCATGAGAAGGGGTGGGTGCGTTATGTGGGGAATCTGGAGGAAGAGTATGGAGAGTTATTCAGTGTGGATACGCCATTCTGGGGAGGAATGTACTAATCAGAGAAGGTCAGATAAGATGTCAGTAAGTCAAATTCTCACAACAAGGGCACAAGATATGAATGTTGGAATGGTGTTCAAATTCTTAGCTAACTCCGGACTCCAGAGTCATTAGGAACAAGGGACCGAATTACGAAAAACGAGCCAAAGATGATTAACAAAAACCATACCAAGAGAACCATGAAAATACCTCGCAACGTTTCTCTTACCTATGCGCCACAACCTCCCTCATACTTACCCCAACCTAATAATCCGCAAACTGGCGCGGACTAGGAAGTTCCTCAATACTAGGACTATACTGACTCGGATGTCTCGCGCGATTAACCCTTCGATCAATCTCATTCACAATATCCAAATTCGTCTGCAAATCCGCACTCTTGATGCTTTTCCTCGCCACCTGCTGTTCCGCTTCCTTATACGCACGGCTCGTCAGCCCGCCTTCTGCAAGCAAAATCTTGCGTTCCCTATCCCGCGGCGCATAGTCCTCTGTGAGATACGCAGAATATGTCTTTTGCGCGTCTTCGCTAGTGCGACAGTTGCGTGGGGCGGGTGTAGCAGGAATATCGGCGGCAGAGTGCTCGGTGAAGGCGCGGGATGCGCGGGCATTGGGCCATTCACCCGTCGAGCGGGAGTAGATGCTAGCTGTGTAGTGGGAGGTACGGGGAAATGGGGCGGCGGTGGGGTTGAGACCTAGCTCTATGTCTGAGACTGGGCGGGAGACGCCTTTACTAGGGCCGTAGCGCGCTTTGAGGTAGGTCCAGAAATTGGATTTTGGGCGGGGGGAGGCTGGTGGGGAGTCAGCTGCGAAAGCGGCGAGGGCGGCTTCATGGGCTGCGTCGCGCTCTTGTTGGTAGGCTGACTTTGGAGCGCCGGCTTCTACATCGACATCTTGGAAGGTGGTAGATAGAGCGCGGCTGATGGTGTAGTCGGGATTGTCGTTGTTCGGATTACCGTCAGAATGGTAGTAAGGGTAAGCTCGATTAACAACGGTAGGACTAACGTGGTGAGTGTTGGCCTGATCGTCAGCATAGTAAGAAGGATATGCCACGGGGACCGCCTCACCAACAGTATCATCATCACCTTTGTCGGTATCACTACCACCACGAGTAGTAGTACTACTACTACCAGCCCGAATCGTATTCGCAGACTCTCTTGCCCGCACCATACCCGGCGTAATACGCACCTTCTGCCCCGTCTTCCACTGCTCCACCTCCTCCTTCAACTCCTTGCACTCGCGACACCCAAAGCCGAAGCCAAAGCGTCCGCCGATGCAGCACTTGCTCCATACAGCATACGCAAAGAGTACGACGAGGAGAAGCGCAATACAGGAGAGCGCCACGAAGAACGGAGTGAGTGACTTGATGTCAAACTTATCATGGTGGTCGGATGGATTTGGCGGCGCGGGAGTTAGAGAGGGGATACCGGTAGAGGTAGATGTAGCGGTGGAAGACGCACTCAGACCAGCTGAGGGCGGGATAAAGGGCGCATATGTTGGGAATAACTTTACGCCTGTGGGTGTGGGTGTGGGGTAGACGGTGGTATAGTCTGTGACGATGATCAACGAGGGAGCAGCAGCGGGAGCCATGTTTGAGATGCCTTGGGAAAGGTATCGCGGTGTTTTCTTTGGGTGGAAACGGTGGCGCGGTGAAAAGAGGGTGGGCTTCTTTTCGTTGCTTGGTCGTGCTCGGTTTGGGTGGGTTTGCAGGGTCTGGGGAGGAAATCAAGGGGTGTGTGAGGAAGGATTGATATACGGGGGAGTGGGGTACAGTGTGTAGGAACTTTGTGGGTTGTGTGAGAAGTGTGTGTGTGTACAACGTATACGTGTGTGGAGGTAGGGCGCTGTGTGGGTTTACATTGTGAAAGTTCTTACTGTAACGTATATGTACAATGTGGTAGGAGAGATTTGGTAAGCAACGTGATATTCTATGAGATATTAGGCTTGATGGAGGCGAGATAGTGTCTACTGAATGGAACTAACGGATCAGCAAGTGCGGCCTCGTTGTACATCGCCATTGCTTCACCTTTCCCGGTGATACCAAAACAGCTTCTGGTTTCTTGAAACAAAGGTATGAGTCTCTCCTATTCATTCACTAAGCGCAAGTTGGCTTCCTGACGCCCGGTTACCCGCGTCACACCTGAAGAGGTACTCGATGCTCGTGTTACCGCAGTCGAGTCCTCCGTACCTGTGGTTAAGCTTTGCGTTGGCCCAAGTTCATCCATCATGAGGCCCTGCTCAGCCTCGTTTTGCTCGTCGACAGCTCTCTGCACCCTTTTCCTAACAGAAGCCCGATCTGTTTCTCCTGCTCTAGCATGTCCCAAAAGCGCTATGGGTAACTCGTCCAGTCCATCGTCTTTGATCCATGCTTTTACTTCAGAGTCGGTCGCTTGGGCTGCTCTTTCAAGATAGGGTGCAGTTCTAGGTGAGACCACTTGGGAGATACTCGACCATGATTGCCAGAGAAGTGCCACGTTTGTTGCTTTACCCAACATTAGTTGAGTAGCAAAGTCTTGCCAGATGCACGTACCTTTGCAGAACCAGACGATCACAAAGATCATGACCAGGCTGTGCACGGCTATAGCAGCCATTACAAGCATGTAAGATCTTGTAGGTCCAGCCGGGAGAAAGGCGGGTTGCCCTTGCCCTCCTGGAATTTGTACCGCGACAAAATCAGCTCGTGTCGCGTCAGCTCGTGTCGCGTCAGTCATGTTGCCGTCATTGAGGAATACATAGTCCTGATAGCGTGATGCATGAAGCGCTGTCAACATGCTTTGAACTGCTTCGGCCGTTGTCCCTCCCTCACGGAGTATTTCTAAGAGCAAGCCTCCAATGCTGATATCTGCTCGACCAGTGACAGGTTCATACCGCTGTAACATGTTTATGGTCGAAGCGCCTTCGAATGGGGGAATGTCCAAGATAGCTTTAATATCGCCGGGACCAAGATATGGAGCTTCTTGACCATCCTGCTCCCAGAGTCGTGATTCTAGTGACAGAATGCCACGTTGTTCCAGCGTGGTATGCGGCGAAGACAACATTTGTTTCCGCACATCGTCGAAGCGGACTCGCTCACTAAGGGGGTCGTAGTTGTATCTTGGTTGAACAAGAGGCACCGCAGAAGACGCATGAACATTGAGATACCTGGCATTAGTCGCCGGAAAGCACAAACTGAAGCTCAAAGTACCATTGGCGGCTGTAAAATTGTTGTTAGTTCGGTACACATTCGTCCAGTCCCCCTTGCTTCGATGAACCAACCCCGGTGTAGAGTCATTGAAGATTTCTTGAATCTTCAAATAGTCTGCTGTGGAATAGTCGTAGAACTCGTCTTTAACGCCACTGGAAAAGTTGACAAGCAGGTAAGATTGGGATGGGTACCCAAAATCGAGAGGTCCCTCGAGTGTCGTCCAAACATCTCTTAGGCGGTTTGCTCTCTCTTCAATTTGGCAGATAGATAGGTCCCAGTCCGAGGGATGATATTTGAGGATTTCGTCTAGTGGGGAGATATACGGCATTGAGCAATTGAATTCCTCGGATGGTCCCGTGTACATTGGCAAAATTCGCGAAGCTGACGCTTGCTGCAAAAGATCTAGAGGTATAGAGATGTTCCCATGCAATATAGGGG